AGTTTAAAAAGGAGAAATACAAAGTAAGAGGAAATACAAATTAAGAGTAATATGAGATTTTCAGTTTGCATGTGGTTTTGAGCCATAAACCTAGGTTTAAAGACAACTAATTGAAGAACTCAAACAGTTATTCAAGACAGTAGGGAATTAGGTGAGTCCTGGGGTAACCATGTGGCCTGCGTTCTTATGTTGTGTATAGGGGCCTCAACTTTTCTCAGAGGAGTTTGTCCAGGTATAGCATGTCATATTAGCAACAGCACAGACAATTTCTTATTTAACCAATGGATACTAAAGAATTTTGTAGGTTGGGTTCTGTTAAGTTATAAGCAGAAGGAATTGATCATAAAATTTGAATTATACCATTATTCTGCCAAGTAGAAAAGGTTGAATTAAGTGAGATGAAAGTCTCGTTATGATATACAGTCTTGTTTCAATGTCTTGCAGAAAGTTATACTGTGTGAAAACACCAACGTTTTCTCCTGGTTTGTGGTGTGAATGTCTCCTTACGATATTGGTAACGAGTTTGGTAAACTATCGTGTGATCCGAATATCAGCCTTGAGACTTATTCCCTCTTTCATTTCCCTCTGGCTCACCAACATGCTAATCCATGTTCACATCATTGAAACCACAGAAGCCAATACCAGTTTCACCAGTGTTGGTCCTGGATATTCACAAGATTATTGTCAAACTAGGCCATACATACAAGAATTTAATATGCATTTGGAGCTTGGATTATATTTCTGTTAAACTGAACTGCTCTATGGGACTTCTTTTATTCATTCCACAAATATATTTTGCACATGTTCCTTATTCTTGGTACTATTTAATGGGTTTGACGTACATCCATGATCTAAACAGATAAAACTCCCACAAGGATCATTTATAAATGTCATGGTGATTCACGATGTCCTGTTCGTGTTCCTCATGGTCTGGACCAGCATCGACAGGGTGAGTCTCCTCTGCAGACACCAGTGGAGAGCCCAGCATCTGCACAGCCCCAGCCTCTCTTCCCAGCCATCTCCTGAACACAGAGCCACCCACACCATCCTTCTGCTGCTCAGTTGCTTTGTGTGCTTTTATTACTCAAACAACTTCATCACCCTTTATTTCTTTTATAAATCTGAGAAAAACCCAAGGCTGGAGATGATCACTGGAATTATTTCATCATGCTACCCAACCATCTGCCCTTTTGTGCTCATGAAAAATAATAAAATTATTTCCTAATTTACCTCTTCATCTCTAAGACAAGAATGATCAGTTCTCAGGGAGCTTTCAATGGCTGACCTCAAACCCCATACTTTCTTCTGCAGCTGGGAAGTCTCCATGATGACTTAGGTGGAGAAAAAGTCATGCAGTGATTGAACAATTGAATTGGGGCTAGTTTGAATTGAAGTGTATCATAAATTTAAAAAGCATTCAGGTTTTGAAGTCAATATAAATAACAGTATGTAAATATGATCTTAATAATTTTCACATTGCTGACAAGTTTAAATTATGACATTTTAGGTAAAACATATGTGTATGTTTTATTATATTTACATATATATGCATATTTAAATAAAATACATAGATACACATATAAGTATATATATAAATATATATGTAAATATATATAAGTATGTGTGTGTGTGTGTGTATACCTTTTATTTTTTTTTTTTTTGAGACGGAGTCTCGACTCTGTTTTTGCCGCAGGCTGGGGTGCAGTGGCTGTATCTCAGCTCACTGCAAAGCTCCGGCTCCCCCGGGTTCACACGCAATTCTCGCTGCCTCAGCCTCCCGAGTAGCTGGACTACAGGGCGCGCCCGCACCTGTGCGGCTGGCTAGTTTTTTTGTATTTTTTAGTAGAGACGGGTTTCACGTGTTAGCCAGGGGATGGTCTCTGATCGGTCCTCAGGACTCATTGATCCACCCATCTCAGCTCACCAAAGTTGCTGGGAATTACAGGCTGTTGAAGCCCACCGTGCCGGACTCTTTTTTTTTTTTTTTTTTTTGAGACAGGTCTTGCTCTGCACCCAGGGCTGGAGCGTACAGTGGTGTGACCCTCAGGCTCCACTGGCAACCCCACCTCCTGGGTTCAAGCAATCCTCCCACTTCAGCCTTCCGGAGTACCTAGGACTTATAGGTGTGCGACCCACACGCCCAGGCTAATTTTTTGTATTTTGTAATATAGATGGGGTTCACCATGGTTGGCCAGGCTGGTCTCGAAATCCTGACCTCAAGTGATCTGCCTGCCTCAGCCTCCCAAAGTGCTAGGATTACAGGTGTGAGCCACTGCACTGGCCTTATAAGTATATATATATACACAAACATATATGTGTAGACATATACAACTACACATGTATTATTAAAACTAATTTTATCTTCTTGTTTTTGCTTTTTTAAATGCAGCTGCTAGAAAATTTAATATACATTTGGGGCTTAGATTATATTTCTGTTAAACTGTACTGCTCTATGGCACTTCTTTTGTTCATTCCACAAATATATTTTGCACATGTTCCTTATTCTTTGTACTATTTAGTGGGTTGGAAGTATATCTGTGATCTGAACGATAAAACATAACAGCACAAGAGATTATACAGAATGTTTGTGGTACAGAAAAAGGTATATGTACCATGATAGGAGCTAAAAAGAATAGGGCTGGTTAAGAGAATGTGGTGTGCGGGGAGTGCAGGTGCAGGGAGCTGCAGTGACTGGGATTACAGGTGTGCATCACCATGCCTGGCTAATTTTTGTATTTTTGTAGACAGGGTTTCAACATGTTGGCCAGGCTGGTCTCGAACTCCTGGACTCACGTGATCTGCCTGCCTCGGCCTCCCAAAGTGCTGTAATTACAGCTGTGAGCGACCACGCCTGGCCAACATTTATCATTTTAAATACTCATCTGCACAAATGTTTCCAGCTGGGGCCACTTCCCCACCCCCCCCCACATGACAATGGCCATGATATATCATATTCATGGTTATTAAAAAGAATCTGGAGCAACAATATGAATGTCAGACAAATTAGGCTTCAAGAGCATTTCCCTCCATCTTATAGGAGGTAAACCCAAAGAAGAAGTTATATGAAGATTCCAATAAAAGAATGCAAGATGACTGTCTGTGTAAAAATGTAATCAATGGGGAGCAGGTGCACCTCCAATAACATTAGACAAAATACATTTTACCTAAACAGCATTACTAAATATAAAGTAGATCCCTTCAATAAGAATAACAATTTTAATTTTGTGTATACATATTAACACTTTCAATATGTGTATAGTATACATGGGTAGAATGATAAACAGATATAGAATAATCCTCCCCTCTTGTGGGAAATCTGATCAATAGTCTTTTAGCAATTAACAGAACAACAGAATATCAGTAGAGATATAAAAAATTGACGAATTCATATTCTTAAGTGCCCTAGAATAACAACTCACACAGCCATTGAAGAATCCCCATCATCCTATCTCAAGCATAGAGGAAACACATAGCATCCGTAGCCACACAGCAAACACAGAAATGACTGCCAACAAAGTGGAACAGTTTAGCTCACAGATTAAGTTATCTGAATATATGTATAATGAGTTATAAATAATAAATAATTGAGCCAGATGAAGTAGTACATGCCTGTAATCCCACCTACTTGGGAGGCTGAGGCAGGAGTTTGAGCCCAGGAGTCTGAGTCCAGTCTGGGCAGCATTGCAAGATCCCATCCCCCAAATAATAAACAAACTAACTAAGTAATCAATAATTGAATGAGAAAAGTTAGCTCATATTTCAATATGTTCCATCTTAGTATATATACTTCTAGGCAACCACTTAGTGACAAAAATTCTGTAGAAATCCATCATTAAAGTTCATTATGTAAATAAATGTGAAGACTAGATAAGAACCACAGAACACAATGACACTGGAAAAAATGCCACAGTAATTCTTTGAAAAAAATGCAGGCCGGGTGCGGATGCCTATAATCCCAGCATTTTGGGAGGCCAAGGTGGGCAGATCACAAGTCAGGGGTTCGAGACCAGCCTGGCCAACATAGTGAAACCCCGTCTCTACTAAAAATACAAAAACAATTAGCTGGGTGTGGTGGTGAGCACCTGTAGTCCCAGCTACTCGGGAGGCTGAGGCAGAAGAGAATGCTTTCAGAGAAACTTCTGGATCACAAGGGGAAATCTGAAAGTTGTCAGAACAAAATGGAGTCACTTATGTTAAGGTAACCCTGACAAATAGAGCCAGGAAAGCCATGAAGAGAGAACTGTTATCCTTGTATGCCTGAAAATGAAAAAGACTCCACAAAAGCCACAACCTTGCATAAAGGTCTTCACAACCTTAAAAAATATTTCTGCTGGTCCAACCTCGGACTAATGTCACCCTTGTTACTGATCTTTGTAGCCAAGGAAAATTCTGTCAAAACAACATGCAATCCTCCCCATTTCTGTCTTCCTTTATCTCCCTGAATATACACAGAGTTTAATATGGCATATCTATTCCCAATGGCAATGCTCTATTCCCGAATAAACATTGTTTCCGGCTGGGCGCAGGGGCTCCCGCCTGTAATCCCAGCACTTTGGGAGGCCGAGGCGGGCAGATCACAAGGTCAGGAGATCGGGACCATCCTGGCTAACAAGGTGAAACCCTGTCTCTACTAAAAACATAAAAATTAGCTGGGCGTGGTGGTGGACGCCTGTAATCTTAGCTACTCAGGAGGCTGAGGCAGGAGAATGGCGTAAACCCGGCAGGTGGAGCTTGCAGTGAGCTGAGATCCTGCCACTGCACTCCAACCTGGGCGACAGAGTGAGACTCTGTCTCAAAAAAATAAATAAATAAAATAAATAAAAATAAATAAAAAATTTTAAAAATTAGCTGGGCGTTGTGGTGCACGCCTGTAGTCCCAGCTACTCGGGAGGCTGAGGCACAAGAATTGCTTGAACCTGGGAGGCAGAGGTTGCTGTGAGCCGAGATCATGCCACTGCACTCCGGCCTAGCCAGAGAGCGAGCCTCAGTCTCAAAAAAAAAAAGAAAAAAAAATTGTTTCCCTTAGGAAGCTTTCGTATGTTTGTTAGTTAGGTTAAAATGTCTAATAATTAAAGTTATACAGTTACAGTGTAAAATTATTAGTATTAGCAACATAAACATTGGTGTAAAAATTATTATTACAGAAATTAAAACAAATTAAGTATGAGAGAGATTAAAGACTGCCCAAGCCAAGTCACTGAAGTCATAAATTGAAGCTATGACTAACAGGATGCCGAGCTTCTAGAGGGATTTGTTTTTAGCAAGGGGAGGGCCCTGTTTCCCCTTCTGACACGCGCTTTGTCGTACTCCCTCCTTGCTAACCAAGAGGAGCAGAACACGGAGCAGCCTGGCGGTGTCCCAGCAACAAGCCTCCGTTTCTCCTTCCTGTACCCTGGGGCTCCTGAAACTCACCTGGTAAGCGCTCCAGAAAAGCAGCAGGTGGTGACTTCAGGGGAGGACGGGCCAAATGGGAGAATCCCCTTAGGTCGGTTGCTCTCGTTCTCAACTTCTTTTGAAATAATGCTCGCAGAGAAGGAGGGCTTTCTGAGAACTGAGGGAAGTAAGCTCTTAGGACTTCCGGTCGCCATGATGGCTGTGGGCGGTCAACAGGGTCAGTGCGAGCATCTGGGCAATCTTTAATGTGGGCAGGAAAAAACACGATTACACTTACTTCTGCAGAGTTTATAATATCCTCGCCCATTATTTAAAATAAAATATCTAAGACATAGGTAATAATATGTTTTAAATAAAATTGAAGCAATATGTGAAATTTCTCTGGAATTCATCCAGCCACTCTCGGCTGTTACCACTATCCAGAAACGTGTTAATCCCTCTGCATGATTTATATGTTTGGTTTGTATTTTAAATATTGTTTTCTGTATATTTAAAAGTTGTATTTGCTTGGTATCCTGCTATGCATTCTCATGCAATTTGATGTTTAATCAATATTACTTTTTTTTTTTTTTTTTTTTTGAGATTGAGTCTCCCTCTTTCACCCAGGCTGGAGTGTAATGGCACAATCTCGGCTCACTGCAACCTCTGCCTCCCGGGTTCAAGCGATTCTCTTGCCTCAGCCTCCCGAGTAGCTGGGATTACAAGCGCATGCCATCACGCTCAGTTAATTTTTTGTATTTTTAGTAGAAACCGGGTTTCACCGTGTTGGCCAGGATGGTCTCCGTCTCTTGACCTCGAGATCAGCCCACCTCGGCCTCCCAAAGTGCTGGGATTACAGGCGTGAGCCACCGTGCCCCGCCTTGGTTTCTAAATACTATTTTGTATACAAGGGAGCCAAGGATCTGTGGAGAAGTGGTTACTTCCAGGGCTGGGGCAGGGAATATACAAGATAACATTGGAATGAATTGTGATGCCAGAACATGAAGAAATATTCCAAAAAGGCTGGGGCATGTTGACTGAACACAGAAGACAAACATGCATGACCTCAACCTAATCATGAGAAAACATCAAAGAAATCCAAATTGATAAACATTCTGTAAAAGAATTGACCATGCTCAGCGAAAGTGTCACAATCACAAAAGACAAGGAAAAAATAAGAAATTGTCTCAGACTGGAGGAATCTAAGGACAGATAACAACTAAGTGCAATGTGAGATCCTCGATTAGATCTTGGAGAAGAAAGCGGACATTCAGACAAATGTAGACAAAATTCAAATAAGGTCTGCACATTAGGTAATGGTACGATATGCTAACATCCATTTCCTGGTTAGATAATTGTATTACATATAGTATTATGTGTATAATTATTATATTACAATTACATATACAGCTGTATATTATGTATAATACAATAAATGTATATGTATGATTGTATATAATACGATAAATGTACATATACAATTATTTTATATATAACAACTATTATATATAAATACAATTATATAAAGCTAACATTAGGATAAGGTGGTTGAGGATTTATACGAATCTTTGCTATTTTTTCACGTTTAAAATTATTTCAACATAAAAAAATTATATGGGTCATGTAGTTTTTTTGTACAGTTTAATTCTAGGCACCATAGTTTCTATTTTAATGGGTGTATTTTCTTCTTTCATGGAATTGGGATAGTCTGTTATATTAAAAAGCTATTCATTTTTGTATATTAAGATTCTTCTGGCCGGGCACGGTGACTCATGCCTGTAATCCCAGCACTTGGGAACCTGAAGCAGGCAAATCACCTGAGGTCAGGAGTTCGAGACCAGCATGTCCAACATGGTGAAACCCCATCTCTACTAAAAATACAAGAAAAATCAGCTAGACATGGTGGCGCATATTTGCAATCCCAGCTACTTGGGAGGCTGAGGAGGAGAATCGCTAGAACCCAGGAAGCAGAGGTTGCAGTGAGCCAAGATTGCACCACTGCACTCTGGCCTGAGCAACAGAAGGAAACTCCGTCTCAAAAGAAAAAAAAAAAGATTCTTTCTCTAACTTACTGGTTTATCTTACTTTTGTAGCTTATTTCAGGTGATTTGTTGTGTTTGTCTATAGAGTAAAATAACGTGTCTAGTGAGTTATAGTTTAATGTCCTTCCATTCAATCACCGTATTTCAAGTTTATTCCAATATTTTGGAATAAGCTTCCAATATTTTAACTTAAATAGGTAAGGTCATACTTGGTATTTTCCTGACCTCAGCTGGAATGATTTCATAGCGTCCACATGAAGCACAAGGATAGTCTTTGGCCTGAGAGAGACGTATTATGCCGAAAATGTGTGTAATCCTTTTTACTGAGGAACTGTGGGTGGAGTTTTTTTTCCCCCCAAGAATGATTGTTAATTTTGGTCCATCATTTTCCTTTGATTGTTCTTTATTTCAAACAAACAAACCAACAAACAAAACAAAACGTCCTGGTCTTCTCACCTATTTTCTTGTAGTACCTTTAAGCGATGCTCTGCTAGTATCTTTTTCTTAATTATTATGGAATGCATGGGACAATTCCATGTCTGATTGTATGCAGAACGTGCTTTCTACAAGTGAGTTTTTGTAGTATTTCTGTACTCTGTCACACTAGGCCATTTCTCTATCTTCAAGGATCTCCCATCCACCCCTGCCTCTACCACATCTATCTCCTGCTCAGCCTCCATTACAACTGCCCAGACCTCACAGCTCTTGTATTCAGACTCTACAGATAAATCACCGAGTATGGGGCTTTACTCACAGGAAGTTCCTCTTTCGGCCCTTCCTGACTTCTTTATGTTTTCTCACTCTCCACTTCCTCCCTGCTCCTCCGCCGTGCTCCACCCTGACTTCACCCAGTTTTGTCAGCCAGTGAGAAATGTTTGGATCTGTGAGTTAAATCTGTCTCCTCATTATTCTGAAAATGGAGTTTGCATGGACTTTTCCATTCGCCTTATTGCTTTCATCGATACTCAGTAATAGACGAGATAAACTGTTACTTCCCATTGCCTTGTTCGTTTCAGAAGTACCAGGTAGAATTTTACCAACAAGGCTTCATACATATTTCCAGTAATTGTTGAGTGATTTAATTGTATATTGTCTTGCTATTACTTTGATCATATATCACATTATTTCTCATTTTTGAATACCTGGACTTATATAAATTTTATGTAATTCATGTTTATATTTATCCAAGTTCTCAGAAACTATAACTGCTGAAATTGATCATAACTCTCCTAATACAGGTGTAATTAAAGGGAGAGATGCTTTTTGGCTCATGAAAAAAAAGCCTGTAGATCAAGTCTCAGTAACTTCTAGTTAATCCTAGAGAAAGTTAGCCAAAATAATGTATAGCTTCTTTAAATTCTTCTAAGGAAAAAACTCCATTTTGTTTCTTGAAATGAGGTATTGCTTTGTCACCCAGACTGGAATACAGTGACACTTTCACAGCTCACTGTGACCTTAAACTCCTGGGCTCAAGGGATCCTCTCACTTCAGCCTCCCGAGTGGCTGGGACTACAGGCGCAAACCACTGTGCCTGGCTTCATGAGAAAAAAAGTAAATATATAATGGTACTAGGTAAAATAATACTAAATAAGAAATCATTTGAATGCATACTATATTAACTCTGGAATAACAATACTTAAATAAAAGAAAAGTGTTTGTTATAACGAAGGGAAGCTTGTAGTTCAGAGGATAGCTAAATTAAATTTGTTGCAGGCTGTGAGAAACATAACAATTAAACATAAATACATGAAATATGTAGATTTTTATATTTTTATTGAAAATTGCATAGAAATATTTGGTTTGTCTAGTTGGAACGTGTGAGTGATTATTATGCATATAAATAAATATTCAGTTATTGCTGATAAATTCATTGGTGGTAAAATAAAACATTTGTATAGGGTTTTGGAAGTCAAATCTTTAAAATCACTTCTCTGAATTCCCATTAGATGATTATTGCTACCAACAAAATTCTAGTAGGTAAACACAACCACCTTCTAAGAACTTAGAACTCTCAGGCTGGGCATGATGGCTCATGTCTGTAATCCTAGGACTTTGGGAGGCCGAGGCAGGCAGATCACCTGAGGTCGGGAGTTCAAAACCAGCCTGAGCAACATGGAGAAACCCTGTCTCAACTAAAAATACAAAATTAGCAGGGTGTGGTGGGACATGCCTGTAATCCCAGCTACTCGGAAGGCTGAGACAGGAGAATTGCTTGAACCTGAGATCGTGCCATTGCACTCCAGCCTAGCAACAAGAGAAAAACTCCGTCCAAAAAAAAAAAAAAGAACTTAGAACTCTCCAATATTAAATGGCCAGTTGCCTCAGAATAAAAACAAACCAAACTATTTCAACCAAGGTGAACTCTGAATAATTAATTCAATTGTTTCACCTTCTTCTTAAAGAAGTTGTGAAGAAATTCAAAATGGCACGACTGTAGAACAATAGTGAGATGCAAACAAAGAACAAAAACCACCACATAAGAAATTGTGATTTTCATTGAGCAGCTTTACTGTTCATCTTAATATGGTGCTAATTAGGAGTTGGTTTTGCATTGCTCAGTAGCAGAGATAGAATTATGGTTTGTTATATGTGGTGATATAATACACAAATATACCCTCTCTAGCTTTCTCTACTGACATAATTAGGTGCATTGTCACTCCAGCAGCAAGAGCCTGATGTATCTGCCTAGAATTCATGTTTTGATCTGTAAATCTCTAATAGTAATTGTGAAGAGCTCAACTCAGTATGGAAACTAATCCGGTCACATATTTCTCTTCAGCCTCTTAAATAAACTGCACAGAGTCTGAGGTCGCACTATGCTGGACACACTGTAATTGCACAAACAAAATTGTAGGGCTTTGTTCCAAGATGGTATTAAAGCTTGACTTATGGATAAGATCAACTTGTGGGTGATTCAGAGGTGCACCCACTAGTTTCCTGCAACCAGAAATTGTAAACCTACTTGTGTGTTCAAAGATGCTTGAAATAGTATTGCAGAGAGAGGATGGTGAGACAGTGGAGTGCTGTATGATCCCGAGTGTTAAACACAATTTGATTTATTAAAATTAAGTTGCATTCCTTGGATACAAATAGTTTGTTTTAAAAAGTAGGCATAGTATTACCCTATTTTTTTTTTATTTATTTTTTGTTTTGAAGACAGAGTCTCTCTCTGTCACCGAGGCTGGAGTGCAGAGGCGCGATCTCAGCTCACTGCAACCTCCGCCTCCTGGGTTCAAGCAATTCTCCTAGCTCCACCTCTGGAATAGCTGGGATTACAGGCGTGTGCCACCACGCCCAGCTAATTTTTGTATTTTTAGTAGAGATGGGGTTTCGCCATGCTGACCAGGCAAATCTGGAATTCCCGGGCTCAGGTAATCCACCTGCCTCAGCCTCCCAACGTGCTGCGATTACAGGCGTGAGCTGCCACGCCCGGTCACCCTATTTTAATATATTTAATAAAACCAAATAGTCAAAAAGTTAAGATGGATTATTTGTGGGCATTTGGATTTTGAGTGATTTGTAATTCACTAATTTTCTTTTCTGTTATCCAAAGTGTCTACAATGCTATTAATAATATGTATTTTTACTACTATATAAAAATCTTCAAAAATTACAATAAGATGCCAGGCACGGTGGCTCAAGCCTGTAATCCCAGCACTTTGGGAGCGACACGCAGACGGGCGGATCACGAAGTCAGGAGATCGACACCATTCCTGGCTAACACGGTGAAACCGCCCCATCTCTTACTTAAAAAATACAAAAAACTAGACGGGCGAGGGGTGGCGGGCGGCCTGTAGTCCCAGCTCTCGGGAGGCTGAGCGCAGGGAGAATGGTGTAAACTCCCCGGGGGGGGAGCCAAGAGGCCTTGCAGGTGAGCTGAGATCCGGCCACTGCACTCCAGCCTGGGAGACAGAGCAAGACTCCATCTCAAAAAAACAGACAAACAAAAAAAATTACAATATGATATCACTTTACATGTACTAGAATGGCCATTTTTAAAAGGCCTATAATAACAATTATAGGTGAGGATATGGAGAAACTGGCACCCTCCTACACTGCTGGTGGGAATGGAAATTGGTGCTTTGGAAAACAGTCTGGCAGTTCCTTGAAGGTTAAACGCAGAGTTACCACATGACCCAGCAACTCCACTCCTAAGTATGTACCCAAAAGAATGAAATAATCTGTCCACATGGAAATTTGTACCTGAATATTCACAGCAGCATTTTTCATAACAGCCCCAAAGTGGAACTCACCCAAATGTCTATCGTCTGCTGAATGGGTAGAGAATATGTGGTGTCTCCATACAGTGGAATATTATTCAGCCATGAAAACAAAGGAGGTTCTGTTATGTGGTATGACACGGATGGACCTTGAAAACATTATGCAAAGTGAAAGGATCCATCACAAAGGACAATATATTGTTTGATGCCTGTCTTAGTCACTTTGGGCTTCTTTAACAAAAGTATCATAGACCATGTGACTTAAACAACAAGATTTATTTCTCACAGTTCTGGAGGCTGGGAAGCCCAAGATCAAGGCACTGGTACATTCAGTGACTGGAGAGGACCTGCTTCCTCGTTCATAGATGGCTGACTTCTTTTTTTTTTTTTTTTTTTTTTCTTATGGAATGCCTTTTTAACAGAGAAAAATCAAGAGTCTCATTCTGTCACCCAGGCTGGAGTGCAGTGGCGTGATCTCGGTTCACTGCAAGCTCCGCCTACTGGGTTCATGCCATTCTCCTGCCTCAGCCTCCAGAGTAGCAGGGACTACAGGTGCCCACCACCACTCCCGGCTAATTTTTTGTATTTTTAGTAGAGACGGGGTTTCACCCTGTTAGTCAGGATGGTCTCGATCTCCTGACCTTGTGATCTGCCCGCCTCGGCCTCCCAAAGTGCTGGGATTACATGCATGAGCCACCATGCCCGGCCAGACAGCTGACTTCTTGCTGCATTCTCCCATGGTAGAAAGAGGGAGGGAGGTCTCTGGGGTCTCTTTTCTAAGGGCATTGAGACCGTTCATGAGGATTCCACCCTCATGACCTCACCTCCCGAAGGCCCCATCTCCTCGCATCCTCACATTTGGAGTTAGGATTTCAACACAGGAACTTGAGGGTGGACACATACATTCAGTCCATAACAACTCCTATTAAATCAAATGTCCAGAATGAGTAAACCTGTGGAGACAGAAGGTGGATTCGTGGGTGCCTGTGGCTGGGTGTGCGTGCATGTGGGGAATGGGGAGTGCCGCTTAGTGAGTTTCTTTTTGAGGTGACAACGCTGTCCTAAAACTGATTGTGGTGATGGTTGTACAACTTTGTAACTATGCTATATACAACATTGAATTGTATAGTTTATTGTGTGGTTTGTGAATCGTGTGGTTGGTGAACTATATATCCATAAAGCCATTATTTTAAAAATCTAATCTTTAAAAAATGTCATAGCAGAACCGGTGAAGGTAATGGGTCAGACAACGGTTCCTAAACCCAAGTATTTTAAAGAAATCTAGGTGACGATTTAGGCAAGAGAAACCATTAGAGTTGTACGAGAGAAGAATGGAAGGCAAGGAAAATAATCACACTTTTGCCTCTGTCAGATTGGAATCTCTAGAAGTTACTATTCTACATGGCTTAACTTGCAGATGCAGGGCTACATCAAAAATAAAAGAATTTGAAAAATAAAAAATAAATTTGAAAAATAAAATAAATAAAAGAATTTGAAAAATCCATACTCCCACTTCATTAGGCAAAAAATAATAATAATAATAATAAGTTTCTATTTTGCAGCTCTCCTGTTTCGGCCTCTGTCCTAAGCACCTACCGCTGCTAGGAGCAATTCCACTGATGCATCTCTTTTGAATGATCTATCAGTGCTTTTCTCAACCTTTTAGAGACACGGAAGCTAAGATTTATCTGACGGTTCTTCCCATGTACCTAAATACAACCTCTTTTAATTTTTTCAGGGTGAAAAAGATACAGTAAAGAGATAAATACAACATTTGACAGATGGACAAAAAGGAGTGTCATGAAGAGAGTAGCAGCAGTGATGAAGAGCTGTCGAGACGGTGAGTGACTTTGTGCTCTGTGCGGGTTCCTAATGGCGGATTCTTCTGCATCTCGTTATAGTTCATGAGATACAGAGCACCATGGATGTGTTCTGGAAGAAAGGTTCTGCTCACATTGTATTCACTCATTCATCTCTGTATGAATGAAGGGGAAAACCCCCAGGGGCACCTAGGTGTACTTTTTTTGTTTTGTTTTTTGAAATGGAGTCTCCCTCAGTCACCCAGGCTGGAGTGCAGTGGCACAATCTCAACTCATGGCAACCTCCGCATCTCCAGTTCAAGCGATTCCCCTGCTTCATCCTCCCCAGTAGCTGGGACTACGGGCGTGCACCACCACACCCATCTAATTTTTGTATTTTTAGTAGAGACAGGGTTTTACCATGTTGGCCGGGATGATCTTGATCTCTTGACCTCTTGATCTGCCCACCTCGGCCTCCCAAAGTGCTGGGATTACAGGTGTGAGCCACCGCGCCCGGCCCAGGTGTACTTTTTAGACCTTCTCTCTCCTTCCCTGATTTTCACCATGGCTGCTTCATACCTGAGCAAAAGCGAGTCTAGGGCTGTTCTTCCAGCTCTTTCCTTGATGCATGGGCCTATGGCCTTGACCATGCTCTTGACAATCCCACAGCATGGCACCCAGATCAGAGCAGAACCATGCAGCCTGACTTACTAAGCCCTCCCGCTGTGCGTTTCAGTGGCTCCTTATCAGGACGCGGCTTATCTCTCATTTGTAGAAAACGAATGCACTGTTTTACATGGTCTTGGAACTCAAAACAAATTAATCTGACCAAATATTTCCGTGTATGCAATTCAGATACTGCTGTAGAATGAATGTTTGTGTTCCTCCAATATTCGTATGTTGAAATCCTAACTTCCAATGGGATGTTATTAGGAGATGGGGCCTTTGAGAGGTGTCAGGTGATAAAGGAGAGCCCTCATGAATGGAATTAGTTCCCTCATGAATGGAATTAGTTCCCTCATGAAGGAGACCCTGGAGAGCTCCTTTCTTTCCCCATGCTTGGACAGAACAAGAAGTCTGCCCTCTATGAATCAGGAGCAGACACCGAGTCTGCCAGCACTTTGATCCTGGACGTTCCAGCATCCAGAGCTGTGACAAATGCATTTACATTGTTTACAACCTTCTCAGTCCATGCTTTTTAAAAATAGCAGCCTTGGCCGGGCATGGTGGCTCTTGCCTGTAATCCCAGCACTTTGGGAGGTGGAGGCGGGCAGATCTCCTGAGGTCAGGAGTTCGAGACCAACCTGGCCAACATGGTGAAACCCCATCTCTACTAAAAATGCACAAATTAGCCGGGCATGGTGGCAGGCACTTGTAATCCCAGCTACTCGGGAGGCTGAGGCAGGAGAATCGCTTGAACCTGGGAGGTGGAAGTTGCAGTGAGCCAAGATCACGCCATCACACTCCAGCCTGGACGACAACAGTGAAACTCAAAAAGAAAAAAGAAAAAAAAGTCTGAAATGAGTGAGACATGCTCTGGCATGCATAAAAGACCACGGACTAGGATGAATTGTTTGCTTTGGGAACCTAGTGTTTCCTAGCTCTTGTGCTAAGTAATTTTAGCCTTCTATGATTAATCACCACAAGGATTTGTGATGAGAGTACTGTATCCTTATTTTACAAGTTAGAAAGCTGATACTCGGAGAGGTTAAGCAACAATTTTGACAGGTCTGTCACTGCTGAGTGATGTCTGTGAAAGGCACTGAATGCAGATTTCTCTGGTGTCCATCATCCTTGACACGCTTGCCCTAAATAAAGAGATCCTACCTTCAAATAAACTCAGTCCATCCAGGGTTGTGCAAACAACTTCATCAGGTTAACATTCCCTCCTGTTTAGGACCAACGAAGGATAGAAGAGTAGGGCCCTTCTTATGCTCCATAGTTTACAAAAACACAGTATCCTTTGAGAAGCCAGTAGTGAGCATCGCCAAGTGTGACAGACTGTGATGAACATCAGGGATTGAGAATCAAAGGAGGCATGCCTCCTGAGATAAGATCATTGTCTACTGTGTGGAAACAGAGATGCAGTTAATTCAGTAAAAATGTGGAGGAATGGCATTTTATTATAGGATGGGCATCAAAGAAGGTGTCTCTAAGAATAGGCATCTCTAAGGCTTCTCTAAGGATGGCATCTCTAAGAATAGTATCTCTAAGGATGGCATCTCTATGGATGCGCATGTCTAAGGGTGGACATCTCTAAGGATTGGACTACTTTTGCTACATCACAGTGAGAAGATTGTCCCACCATTGAGCTCCTCTGACATGCTCACATTCCAACTCCATTTGTGTTTTCCCAGGGACCATGGATCCAGTAGGAGTGTAGATGCATCAGAACTCATAAGACAGCAGACAGTACTGGTTGACAATAGCATACAGAAACTGCGAGACACGAGAACTGGAATTTTTTCTCAGGCTGAAGCCTGTGTGATAGATGAAGCCTGTGTGACAGATGATACGTAAGGGACATCTGTTGGTTGGGGAAAAATGAAAGATTTGGAATTTTGCTGCACTGGTTCATGTACATTCATAAGAAGCAAAGACGTGTAGGTTATTTGCATAAAAATTAGTATATATGTTACTTTTCTTCTTTGTTATCATAAGTTTTTATTTCAAAAGAGTTTCTATCTCATAAGAAGTAGGAAAAAGAGGTCGGGGCCCAGTGACTCACACCTATAATCCCAGCGCACTGAGAGGCGAGGGCAGGTGGATCACCTGAGGTCAAAAGTCAAACTGGGAATCTCATCCTTTCCCTAAAATTCTTAGCAAGGTTATATAGGTCAACATACTTGTTGACCTATTATGAAACCAAAGTTTGTGGCAAATGCTAGATGTTGAGAATTGATTGACGTCTGCTTCCTAGGATGGAAAAAGCAGCATATAGTGGGAAACAGGCATCCAGTTAAATTTTACGTGATGAGAGGTGAGATGGAGTCGTGCAGGCCTGAGGAAAGACTTCCCTAAGATAAAATATGGGGTCTATGGCTATTAACATAAAATCTTCCTGCACAGCCCATGCTATCATCAGACACCTACCTTATATTCATAGAAAAATTCCGTTCTTGTTTTCCAGGGTATACAGGGAGTTACCCCCTGTTTCTCAGATGTGCGGTAGCATCTTATATTTTTTCCGAGAAGGTGATGAGACAGAGGCCGAGGCATTATGGTTCACTGCTTCTCCTGAGGATCAACCATCTGGGGAGGACATTCCCAGGTAGGAAAAGCTATTCTGGGCCGGGCGTGGTGGCTCACGCCTGTAATCCCAGCACTTTGGGAGGCCGAGACGGTTGCAACTGAACCATAATTGGCCTCGCGGATCACAAGGTCAGGAGAGGGCGATGACCATCCTTGGGGTGTCTCACTATCAACCACGGCTTGTCGCTTCGGAAGATCCATGAAAAACAAAATGACAATTGTAATCATACGATGGCTTACTCTACTTAGAAACAATATACAACTAGAAAGGAA